GAGGGGCAGAGCAGGAGCCTAACTCGATATTTGCATCCATACCTATTTGGTGCAGAGAGGTGAATTCTGTTCTCTACTCATTTTCTTGATCTCTTTCTCTTTCTCAGTCTTGGGTGCACGGGCATACATGCCCACGCGCTTGCGCGCACACACACACACACACACACACAATCACTTATACACTCACATTTATACATACAGCTTTCATATCATAGTGTTGTTGACGGGTCCTTCAACTCTATGGGCCTCAGGGACAGGCATAGCAAACCCTAAGTCACGTACCAGAGGGTCTTTGGTTCCTCCCTCCTCTTGTAGCATTTGTGATTATCTCCTGGCTTTCCACTTATAGGGATGGAATCCCATTTTTCCAAGCCTCGAATTTGCTATCTACATCCTGACTTCTTATCAGGTCCCTACTTATCTTCTGCAGGGCCTGTCAAGCAGTCCCATCTGGTGGTGTTAGAGCACAGACTAAGGCTTCATGCCTGACATGGGACCCTTGGCCTGGCATTTGTCAGTGGGGCAGGCTGGGGGCAGGCCCTGGGGCTTGGCAGGAGACCTAGGCTGGCCTCAGCAGGTAGGCCCTGCATTGGTGATAGTGTGCTCTCTGGGGAGAGGGAGGGTGACTGTGACCAAATGCCACCAAGAGCGAGACACATCCCAGGCAGACAGACTCACGACCTACTCAGCGGAGACCCCATGCCCACTGGAGGCTGGCATTGCCAGAGTGCACACCAACGAGAGGGTGGGTCTTTGTCAGCTGGTGTTTCCTTTTGGACTTCCTCAGCTCTTGAGAGGAGTGGGGCGCTCAAAGTAAGCAGCTGCCTATAAAATCTAATTTCAGCCAGGCATCTCGGGAATGTATGGATCGTCTCCTCACCTCTCCCTTTGTGCCCCAGGGAGACAGCTGAGACTCTGGGGCTGCCCTCCCCACCCCTCTACCCCAGCCTCACTGTCCCCTGAGGCAGAGGTAGAGGCAGAGGCAGAGGCAGGCCCAGGAGGCTTCCTGGCAGGGTGGGAAACTCAGAAAAGTGACCCAGACCTGGTCATTGAGGTCAGGGGGATGTTTCTTGGGCACAAAGGGACAGGAGAGAATCAGGGCAGATGAAGGGTGGCTCTGGAATGAAATTATTGGTAGCATTTTGCAAGCGTCCTTTAGATTCTGCTCTCCCCTGCTCCAAACCAGATTCTTGAGCCAGTCCAAACTCTGGACCCTGGGCTGGGCTCCATGCCTGCTTGCCTCCAGACATACTGAACCATCTACCCTGTACTCCCAGTCCAGGCCAGGCTTCCTCTCCTATTTTGCACACCTGACCCCACCCCAGCAGTCCTCTTCCTTTCTCTGAGCTTCAGCGTAATCCCTTCCTCTACCTCCTCCGGCTTCTATGTCCAAGCCCAGGCAAGATGGCTAATCTGGTTTGACTCTGAACATCTCACTGTGCAGCCTCAAGGAGCCCTCCTCATCCTGGGCCCCAGGAACCACCTGGTCAGGGGGCTTCTGACCAGTCTCCAGGGTCCAACAGGTTTTGTCTTTTGGATTGAACTTCTTTTGCTTTCAAGGAAGATCTGGTTTGAATGACGTGTTTGAGAGCTAGGTGTTAAGTGGGAAGCCGCTTACCTAACCCTGAATTTTGCAGAGAGAAAAACTGGCCCAGACTAGAGTTGAGCACAGGGTTTGCCCTGCCTCCTGGCATAACCTCCTTGGTTCAGGGCCCCCCTGCCCTATTTAGGGCTGCCAGACACCTCGCTGTCTATTGAATGCTGCCCCCTGGAGTTGTGCCACGTGGCAGCTGCCGGCATGCCCCTTTCCACTCTGCTTCATTCACCACCCTGCTCCTCCCTTGGCTGAGTCCTCGCCCACAGGGCAAAATCTAAACAGAGCTTGTCTTTCAAGCCTTCTTGTGCAAGCCCCACCTCACTTTCTAACCTGTTTTCTATGGATTATGTTCCCCATAGGGGTTGGCAGTTTCTTTTTTTTTTCTAGAAGAGGCCATAGGTAAATATTTTAGGTGTTGTAAAGGTTTTGTCCATATATTCTTTGTTTCACCACTTTTAAAGCAAAAAAGGTGTGCAGGGAGAGCTGATTTGGCCAGGGGGGCTGTAGCTTGGGATCCCCACTGGGCTGGAATCACTCTGACTTCTTCTGGGTCCAAGTCTCCCAGGCTGGGCTGACCCCCAAGACCCAGCTGGCTGGAAGGGTGGGGACAGGAGTTACAAGTTCCCACCCCCCTGATGATTTCTCTGTGCCCTCTAGGTGCTGCCCTGCTGTCACCATGCCGGAAGTGTAAGTCATCTCCCCCATCCAGGGCTCCAGGGAGACAAGTCTCTTGCCACAGACTATAGCCCCAAAGCTGAGGACTCTTTGTTCAATCCCCAGGCTCCTCCCCCACGACCAGATCCTAAAACAGAGACAGTCCTGAGTGCCTGGGTCAGCACCCCATGGTTCCCAGGTGGCCAAATGTCCTCCCAGCCCTGGAATGGAACTTGTATTTCCAAGTTCCCCTGGAGAGACCTTTGGCCTGTGTTCCAGAATTGCCTGTCTGCGCTGACAAAATGAAGTGCATGCACCAGGCCATGACCTAACATCGGTCCAACAGTTGAACAAAGCTTTGGAAAAAAACCCACGAGCTCAGGATGGCACTTTTCATATCATGGCGGACCTCTGTCAAGGCTTCCCTGACCTCCCATGAATCCTCCCCAAATTCCAATGAACAGTACCCCCAGAAAGAACATCTGGGAGCCCACAGGCTGATGGGTTTTATTCTATTCTGCTGGAACCCTCAACCTAGTCCTCCTACCTGAGGCCTGATTTCTTCCCAGTGTACTGTTGTCACCACCCTCTCTTGCCCCAACTGTTCTGCATGTTCTGCTGCTGCAAATATAAAATACTTTGTTCATGTTCTCTGTTTTCTGCTCTTCCCCCATCCTTCCTGTGATGGATGCCTGAAGTGAGGTAAGTGTCTCTCTGCTAGTGAATTCTTCAGACTGGTGAAGGGGCAGTGGCATCGGAGGGGAGGAGAGAGCTTGGGTCAAGGCTGAGGTGGGGGTGAGGGGTGCCCAGTGGCTGAGGAAATTCCCAGGAGAATAAAAACCTTGGGTGAAGATTCTGGATGTGGGGCTTCCTGTGATCCAGGATATAATGTCACTGGTGTGTACCCTGCAGCTGGGATAGCATGCAGCAGGCCTGGGTGTGACTTTGTACCCTCTCTGAGTGCAAGTTTTCTCCTACCCACTTTGAAAGCTTGTCTATCTCTGGGGAGGGGGTCCACACTGTCTCTTGCCAGAGCTTATTCTCTGCAAAGCCACGTTTGAAAGGTAGGGGTCATTTCACCCTTTCCCAGTGTCCAAACACTGAGAAAGGAACAAAGATGTGTCTTTGGATTCCTTCTTAGGTCTTTGATCACCCTGATTCTGAACATTTTCTACAATCCAGATTTATTTAGGCTGCTGAGGACACAGCCTATATTCAGTCCTGGGATGGGACTTCAGGGACAGGGCTGTGGATTCAGTGACAGCAGGGGTAGGAATCAGCAGCACTGATGGAAGGGACACTTGGCACAGAGGTTCTCAATGAGAATCAAATCCGTTATGTTTCAATAATCATTTGAATTTCCAAGTTTTGCTCAGGTTCCTATTAAAGTTAATGCCAGTGATTGATGGTCACACGATGTGCCCATAAGCTCACCAAGTGGTGGAGAAACAAGATGGCCGTAGAGCATTTGCCATGGGTCCATCACAGTGTGTGAGCCACGGGCAGTAATGGTTAAAGTGATGGCCATGCTTCTTAAAGTCACTTATCTGAAGTGTAGCAAAAATTAGGCTTTTGGAGAGACAAAGAGAAACCACTCTGAATAGTCTGAGTGGAAATTGCACATTCCATGTGCTGAAGCTCACTCATTTCACCCCAGAACTGCTGACTAAGAGCCTGACCCTTCTCTTTCTGAACTATTATAAGGAGCCAGAGCTTTGCCCTCCCAGCACACAGCGTTAGAAGAAGGTGGCATGCCCACAGTGGCCCTCCTGAGGGGCCTGCTTGAAGGTTGCACAGTCCCTTTAACTAGGGTGGGGCAGCCCTCTCACCTTCACCACCCCCAAGGGACCATTGCCACAGAGCTGGGATTTATTAAGCTCTAGTAGAATATATTTAGTCGGCAAGACTAATATTTTTGATAAGAAGAGAAAACGGTGTATTTATGTCTTAGAAACTTATATGATAGTGTTAATATTTAAAAAAAAATCTATCCAGGCATGATGGTGCACACCTGTAATCCCAGCAATTTGGGAATTTGAGGCAGGAGGATGGTAAGTTGGAGGCCAGCTTCAGGGAGCTTAGCAAGGCCCTCAGCAAATGAGCGAGACCCTGTCTCAAAATAAAACATAGAAAAAGGGCTGGAGATGTAGTCCAGTGGCAAAATGCACCTGGGCAATTCTCAGTATTAAATAAATAAAAATAAATAAAATTAAAATTTTAAATGTCCACACACATCGGCTTCATTTATTTGTGCAACACAGCTTGTATTTCTGGCATTACTACCCAGGTTGCTAAAATGGGCAACTTTTAAGTTTTTCAAAGGATTTGCACATCTGTGTTCTCATTTTGTTGGGTAATAACTGTGAACCTAGGTAAGGTGGATCTCAGCATCCTCATTTATGGATGAGAAGGTGCCCTACACAGTCTCCTATGACATTCCATCAAAGGCAGAACCAGGATGGGAAGTGGGGCCTCAGTCCCTAGATCAAGGTAGTTGATGGTGACATTCTCTGAATTTGAGGAGTTAAATTACAAAGATGAACTTTAAAAAATTTTATTTGTAGTTGTAGATGGACAGCATGCATTTATTTTATTTGTGTATTTTTTTTATGTGGTGCTGAGGATAGAACCCAGTGCCTCCCACGTGCAAGGCAAGCGCTTTGCCACTGAGCTACAGCCCCAGCCCACAAAGTGTTAAGCCCCAAAGTCCCAGAACTTTTAAGGGACCTAATGTGAGCAGAGAATTCTGGGTAATGATGATGCACATCAACTGGCACTTGCCCTGGCCTGGACAGAAGTCCAGTTTTGCAACCTCCACCTTACCACCTGTCTCTCCCTTTTCTCATCCTCAGAGAAAATCCAAGATTACTGCTTCCCGCAAGCTCATGCTGAAGGTGAGGCTGGGTGTGGCCTGGGGGATGCCCAGAGGGGGGCAGAGAGCCTAGTGCAGACTCTGAAGTCATGAGGAGGGCCAAGAGAGGGGGAAAGGAAGGAGACCAGAGCAAGATGATGAGAGGCAGAGGAAACCTGTCCACGGCTGGAGCCAGTGCCAGGCTCAGGTGGTCAGCAGGTGGGAACCTAGAACTACAGATCTGGTACCCACCTGGGTCCTGAGAGGAGCCTCAGTGGGGGGGCAGGCAGAGAGACTTGCTTTATTTTGGTATGTGTTTGTATCTTTGGAGCTCTGTGGGCCAAAACAGGCAAAAACTGATAAGAAGACTGATGGCAAAGCAAGCTCTGGGGCATGGATGCCAGGTGTGATTGCTTGGTGTGTCCTAGATGTGGCCTGCTTGCTAGCCACCGCACACACAGCCACACTGAACTGTGTTCTCAGAGCTGGCCCAGCCCAGAGCCAACTTCCTCTCACTCCCTGTTGCTCAGTGGGAAATACAAGGGCCTGGCCCTAGACTCACAGGGTTTGTCCTGTCCAGAGCCTGATGCTGGCCAAGGCCAAGGAATGCTGGGAGCAGGAGCACGAGGAGAGAGAGGCTGAGAAGGTGCGCTACCTGGCCGAGCGCATCCCCACGCTGCAGACCCGAGGCCTGTCCCTCAGCGCCCTGCAGGTGAGTCAGGCAGGCTGAAGCTGGGGTGGGTGCCCCACACAGGTGGGATATGGTGGGAGGAGCTTGAACAAACAAGGGCTCACAGCTCTGTACCTTGCAAGGCACTCTTTCCTTATGTGGTCTTATTTAATCTTCCCACTGCCCAGGGAGTGGCCATGTTCGATCTCATTAAAAATTCTATTTATTTATTTATTTATTTTACCAGGGATTGAATCCAGGGGCGCTTAACACTGAGCCACATCCCCAGCCCTTTTTATGTTTTATTTAGAGACAAGGTCTTGCTAAGTTACTTAGGGCCTCACTAAGTTGCTGAGACTGGCTTTGAACTCACGATCCTCCTGCCTCAGCCTTCTGACCTGCTGGGATTACAGGTGTGCACCATCACATCTGGCCAGATCCCATCTTAGAGGAGAGAGAAGTGAGCCCCAAAGGGAGAAGAGGCTTGCTGGGGCCAGGGCTGAGTCCTGCCTTCACATCAGCCAGTGGAATGACCTGGAGCAGGGAGGCGGGCAGGACTTGAGAAGGTCCATTCTTCCAAAGACTTGTCCTTCCTCCCCCTAGCAATAGGTCTCTAAATTTTTGTTTTTAAAGGTTCAATTCCTTCTTTCTTTCTATACTGGGAATTGAATCCAGATTCTTGTGCATACTAGGCAAGTGCTCTACCACTGAGCTCTATCCCCAGCCCTTTTTATTTTGAGTCAATAAGTTGCTGAGGCTAGCCTCAAACTTGTGATCCTCCTTCCTCAGCCTCTCAAGTAGCTGGAATCCCATGCGCCAATACGCCCACCTTTTAATGTTTTCAAAACAATGGTAATGGTTTAAATGCCAGTGATGGCAGAGAACAGACACTGGAAGGAAATACACCAGCAGGTTACGAATGATTATCTCCAGGTCGTGGCAATCACTGGTTATTTTCGTTTTATCATTTTTGTTTCACACCTAGTTTTCAGAATTTTTACAATTAACAGATTACTCGTATCGCAAGGAAACTATTTGAAAAGAAAACAAGTACACACAGAAAGGATCAAAGGGTTTACACGTTGAGTTGTCGTGCTTAGAGTTAGCCTTAGAGCAAAGGAGATCCCAGGCCTTGCAAAGGGGCTGGGGAGAGGCCAAGGGTGCTGGGCAGGGAAGCCGAAAAGGGAGGCTGGAGACTGTCCCTCCTCACGCCTGCCCCGTCAATCGGCCTCCCTCAGGACCTGTGCCGGGAGCTGCACGCCAAGGTGGAGGTGGTGGACGAGGAGCGATACGACATCGAGGCCAAGTGCCTCCACAACACCAGGGAGGTGAGTCCGAGGGACGGGGAGAGTGCGGCTGGGGGGCTGCGGCGGGGAGAACTGAGCTGTCTGGCTGAGGAGGGGTGGGCAGCTGTGTGGTCCCCTTCCTCCTGCGGGGCCAGGGAGGTGGCCACTCAGCAGCAAGCTTTGGGGACCCCCTCCTAGCCTTGGAGAGCTAGAAATGGGCAGGGAGGATAATCACACAAAAAGCACCCACTTCCTCCCACCTGCAGATGGGCTTTTCAGAAGCCGCCCCTTTTCTCACCCACACGGGTAATCAGATGCCTCCTAATGACATCTTACCTCTGTGAAGGGCTTTCATGTACTTTAGGTCCTTTGATCCTCCCTGTGTGCCTGGGGGTGAAGTGGGGGCTATTATTTACACCTTACAGATGAAGACACTGAGGTTCAGAGAGGCTGAGAACTGGGCCTTGGTCACACAGTGGTGGACCTGGAACCTATGCTGGGTTCTGACTCCCACTCTGGTGCTCAGTGCTCCTCCCTCGAAGAGTGTGGGACCATCCAGACCTGCTCCAGGGAGTGGAAAGAGTGTGTGTGGCGGGGACAGGACTCCTGTGGCGGGTGGGCTGCTTTTTCACATTGGCCCCAGCAGCGGGGCAGGGAGTGTGGGAACTCAGACCGCATCCTTCTTCCCACTTCTGCCCACCATAGTGATAATCTGCTCCCAAGAATTCCCTCCAGAGACCACACCCTGGGAATTCCTCCCAGGGTGTAGGACTGGCAGGGAGGTGGGGTTCTACCTCTGGACCAAGGGGCCGGGCTGCCATGAAGGGACCCGTTAGCAGGCAGGAGGCTTCAGGAACAGGAGGACGCTGCTCCATACTCCAGACAGGGCTTCCACACCAGGAGCTCTGGCTTGGCAGACTGCCCAAGGCTACAGGGACGGGGTGGTCGGGATCTCTGTGCAACTGTTCATCCATGTATCAACGTGCATGTTGGTGATCTGCGAAGGGATGGGTGGTCTGAGTGTTCCAGAGGGTCTGGCCTTGAGCCTGGGGAATTTGGGCTGTGGCTCTGGCTGGAACCCTAGCAGTCTGGGGTCCTTTGGAAGGGAACCCCTGGCCAGCTACCCCTCCGGTAAGCCTGGCCCCTCCTCACCCGCAGATTAAGGACTTGAAGTTGAAGGTGCTGGACCTCCGTGGAAAGTTCAAGCGCCCACCTCTGCGACGGGTCCGCGTCTCCGCTGATGCTATGCTCCGGGCTCTGCTGGGCTCGAAGCACAAGGTGTCCATGGACCTGCGGGCCAACCTCAAGTCTGTGAAGAAGGAAGACACAGAGAAGGTGAGGGCCCCTCTCCTCAGAACTGTCCACCTCCTGCCCTACTAGCCTTCATCTTTTGGGCCGGAAGCTCCTGTGGGAAGCCAGTCAGAACATTCTAGAACACACTAGGAGACCATTAACCAAAGAAAGAGGACTGACTTCCACCTCTCAGGCTGCTTCTAATCTGAGAAGGAGACTGGGACACAAAGAAAAGCAGGTTGAGGAACAAATTGCCCTGGGAATAAAGACAATGTGGGGACACTTGTGGTGGGGAGACCACTGCCCCTGTCACCCCAGGCAATGGAGACAGCATCATGGCTATAGCAAGAGCATAAGAATTAGAGAACTGGGTTCAACCACTCAGCAACAAGTCACTCAAAGTTGGCTGATCTCACAGTGTATGTACCCAGAACCAACGAGTCCTGTAAGGACCACAGTCTCTGGCCCTGGAAGCTTCATACAGAGGAGAGATGGGCCGGGGAGTATGCCGATGGAATGGAAAATGAGTTGAGTTCATCAGAGCAGGCTTCTTGGAGGATGTGGCCTTAGCTGGAGGGCACCAGGCAGAGGGTGGTGTAGGAGTCAGAGCTGAGGTTGGCCTGTGGTGCATTAGGGTGGAAACCAGCCCTGTCACTCTGTCACACCATCACCCGGAATGCCCCATCCACACAACCTCCTTCTTGTGGCACTCTGCTTGACCCTCGTCCCCACGTCTGGCTGAATCTTTGCACCTTGTCCACTGGGCAGGGGTGTTGGGATTTCCTGTCATTTTGAGGAGGCTGATTTTCTGCCGTCCAATTTCTCTGGAGCTCGGGTGACTCTGGCTGCCCCTCTAGCCTGATGTGTGTGCGTGTGGTCTGCCCACAGGAACGGCCTGTGGAGGTGGGCGACTGGAGGAAGAACGTGGAGGCCATGTCTGGCATGGAAGGCCGGAAGAAGATGTTTGATGCTGCCAAGTCTCCAACCTCCCAGTAGAGGTAGCTAGAGACGGGCTCCCTTCTTCTCTGGACTCTCGGAGTCTCAGGGGAGCAGGAGACTCCAGGTTTGGGGCTGGGAGGTGGAGTGGAGTATGTGCAGGAAGAAGAGCACTGCGAGGCTCAGCCCTTGCCGCTCAGACCTGCTTCTGCTTTGGGCCTTTTTGTTCCCCGCTGTATACAACTGGGGGTTGTGTCAGCTCAGTGGCCTTGGGCTCAGCATCATCCATATCACAACTGATTTAGGCCCCACCCCAGACCCACTGGACTGGAGAGAGTGGGGCTGGGCCTGCCCTCTGCATGATTCTGAGGCTCGCAAGAATCTGAGAACACTGAGTTAGAAGATCCTAGAGGCCCTCCCCCAGCTCCGACTTTCTGAGACTCTAAGGTCTCATAAATGCCTCCTGAGGACGTCCCTACCCCGTGTACCCTGTACAGTACCCAGTACTCAGTCCCTGCTCCGAGGGAGGTGCCATTTGGAGAAGTTAAGACCTCCCATTCTACAAAGAGCTGGAAACCCTGGGCAAAGCAGTCACTTTAGGCCACATGAAGCCCCGTGCGGGATAGCTGAGCGCGTGCGCAGTAGGGCAGGCGGCTGCAGACAGCGCAGGCAGGCCCTCTGGACAGAGGAGTCTTCTGATGAATAACAGGCGAGTGTGTGAATGAAGGGGACGGGCATGTTGGAAGATCTGGGGGTGCAACAAAAGTAGAGAGGTGGGAATTAACGAGTCACAGAGGAGGATGGCAAGACCAGACAAGATCCAGGGAGCCGCCTAGAAAGAGAGAAAGGATTTGGGTCCTGGACTGAGAAGCTGAGGCTTCACAGGAGACACTAAGGATGGTGATTCAGTTCAGGATGCACTAGAGAGAAGCCTGGGGGTTGCCTGTGCTGCCGGTAAATCAGGGATTCTTAAAGAGCACATGTCACTGTAACTAACGGCTTCTGTCTCTGTCCCCACAGGCGGGCTTGCTATGCTGCACTCTGTGCTCCTGCTTCAGGCTCCTTCCTTCAAGCACACTCACCTGTCTCTGCCCCACCTCTGTCTGGAGCATCTCACCTGACCCCTCCTGCATGCTCTTCCCTCCAGCCTGCATGCTCTCCCCGGAACCAGGAAGCAACACACACAGTACGAGAGGAGAGAGAGGAAAGAGAAAGCCAGCTGAAGACCTCCCCGCAGTGAGGCCAGCCTGTGGTGCAGCGAGCTGAGGACTGCAGGGAGAGCACCTTCCTGCATCTCTGTGCAGCTCCCCTCCATTGCTGCTGTGACATGTAGTGTCCACGGGCATCGTGGCCCCTCCATTAAAAAATCCAGTTTCCTGGTCATTTCTGTAGCTCTGACCACTATCAGGTGCTTAGAAGAAAGGGAAGATGTGGAGTTTGTGAATAGAGGGCTGAACTGGGCTTCAGGAACCATCCACAGTCAGGAGCTCAGAATCAAAATTGGTGCCTGCCTGTTGAGGTCATCCTGGGTCGCCTTCTGTCTAGTCCTGGTGACATTACACTCTCTAACTAGCATGCTCCACCCACCAAAACCCTGACCTCTGAGAACAGACTTGGCCCTACCTGAGACTCCAGTCACCAAGTAGGGCATATCCATTCAGTTTCCTGCCCTGCCTGATTTCACATCCCCACCCCATCTGCAAACCTGGGTGGGTCACTGTGGTGCCAGATTTGCCCTCTAGTCCCGCTAGCAGAATGCCTTGCAGTTCCAAGATCAGCCACTAGGTGGCTGCTTCCCTGCTCTCCCTGGGACACTCCTTGTCCTCCACTCTCAGGATTTCCCCTCACACTCCTGCACCCATCATACCCCCTCAGGACTGATTCTTTCACCAAAGTGGAGGCAGCTGGTGGTCTGTCCTCTGAGTCAGGTTTTTTCTTCTAACATCTGGATGCAAAGCCTCTGAGGGGTGTGGGGACTGGGGCAGCCCCCTCATCCCCAAATACTGAGGAAAGTGGCTCCTAAGGAGCCGAGACCAAAGTTCTGGGCTAGAGTGCAGCTTGACTTTTCAGGGCTGTGTCGTGGTGATGCCTGGCTAAGCCTACACGGAATGGCTGGTCCCAGACCTGGGGCCCTTTGGCGTTTGGACTGCCCCAGCACTGGCCCTGGAAGAAGCTGAGTTGTGTGGATGGCCCTCCTTTCACCTGCCCCTGGTGCTGCCCTGTTGTACCCTCTGATCCCAGCATATCAACTGCCATAAATGCTAGAGGCTGGTGCAAAGTGCAGGGCCATCCACCCTGGGCCCCTCTCTGGCATCCCGGCCTGCTGAGCCTGCCCTCCCCCTCCAAGGGAGCCACAGTGGGGACCAACAACTTGGGATGCAAAGGGGAGACAGCACTGAGTGGGGGGGGTCTCTTGAAACAAACAGGTCAGCGGGCAGAGAGGCAGATGTGTGCGGAGAACACACCTTCCACCACACACACAGCCCTTAGGCACAGACACACCCAGTCACACACAGCCGCTGAAGAACCTGATGGGGCGCTGGTCCGCAGCACAGAGCATGGGATTAGGATTCGTGCCTGGGCAGCCACAGAAACCCACCCTTCCCTGCCTCACGGGGCTGCTCTCAGCTGGCCTCACTCCAAAGCATGTCTCTGTGCTTTGTCTCTTCCCAGCCCTTCCGTAGAGCCTGACCCCCCCCCCCCAATCTAGAGCAGAATCTCAGTCTTCCAGTCGACTATTAACCTGGGGCCCCAGCTGATTGGGGTCTCCACCCTGACCTGTAGAGGAAGAAGAACTGCCCAGGGCCTGACTCAAAGCAAACACGGGGCCAGGTGTGGTGGCACATGTCTGCAATCCCAGAGATCTGGGGCTGAGGCAGGAGGATCGTAAGTTAGAGACCAGACTGGGCAACTTAAGGAGATCCTGCCTCAAAATAAAAAATAAAAAGGGCTGGGGATGTAGCTCAGTGTTGGGGGATCCCTGGGTTCAATCCCCAGTACCAAAAAGAGAAAGAAGAAAGAAAGAAAGAAAGAAAGAAAGAAAGAAAGAAAGAAAGAAAGAAAGAAAGAACTAAAAAAAAGTAAATACTGGGGAGCAGAGGACCTGGGAGGGGGGCATAGGGCCCCTAATACCAAGCCTATGGCCTTTTGGGAAAGGGACTGAGGGCCAACCTAGAGGACTCTTGAAAATCATTAGGTCCTTCCTTCTGCTTCCAGATGGGACTAGACCTAATCCATCTCCTTGAGGGTAGATAAGCACAAAGGTGGGCATCAACACTTGCTTTTTGCAAGAGAAGATGAAGAGCTTGAGCAGACCTGGGAAGGGAGGGAGTCTGCCACGGCTCTCCGGGGAGGCCTCTGTTCAGGGCTCCATAGCTATAAGCATGAACAGGGCCTAGTGTGGAGGCATGGTCACTGGAGAGCCCTGATCCCAATCCAGGTTCTCTCTGCAGGGAGAACCCTCACGTGGCTGCCTGGCCACAGGGGAGCAGGGCAGGGGGCGGGGCCTCCTGCTGATTGGCAGCTCAGACAGCACATTCCTACAACCAGGCACTGCCATCAGGATCCTTCACAAAAGCCCCATGAGCAAACACTTTTACCGTGCCCTTTCTATAGAGGGGGACACTGAGGCACAGGGAGGCTAATGACTCCTGTGGTCACACAGCAAGAAGTGGGGCTGGGATTTAAGCCAAGAAGTCTGTCGGCGTCTATACTCTTATTCCCTACTTAATTAATAATACTATTTCAAATAAGAATAAAGATACTAGGCTGAATGCCTTATTGGAATAGTAACATTATATTCTCATGAAGCCTAAGAAGTGGGTATCATTATCTCACATTTCCAGGAGAAAAAATGGAGTCTTGGAGGGTTTACAAATCTTCCTCTAAGTCATAGGGTTTAATGATTGCAGACTGCAGATTGGAACCCAGGTCCCAACAGAGCCAAAATAGCTACTGTCCAGGAGGGACACCTGGGGACAGGGGCCCTGCATATGTACTGGGGGAGTTCCCACATCCCCACCAAGGAGGAAGTATTCAAGTGAGATGAAGGGACACCCAGGTGGGCAAAGTTGAGGTCTCCCCCAACAGCAGGGCACGTCTGGGAGTGGAGGCCTTGGTGGATGTCTCTTAAGAACTGACAAAAGACAGCTGGGTGGGCACCCTTCACAGCTGGAGATTGGCCTGATGCTCCTCCTTCCCTGTTAGGAATGACCAGGGCAAGATGCCACCTGCTGTTGCCCCACCTGTCCTGGAGTGTCAGGAGGCCAGGGCTGACCCCCTTCCTCTAGAGTGCTTCACCCCCATAGAACCAAGAGTCTGAGCCCAGCTGTGTGTCTGGAGCCCACTTAATGGCAGGGGCGCTCAGGGTAGGGCCCGGGTGCTCAGGGTTGCTGGGGCTAAAGTGCCCTGTTGAAGGAGGGAGGCAGGTTAAACATTAGCCACAATGGCCCCCCACGAAGTGAGTCACACTCCCCACTAGGCTCTGGGCTGGGCAGCCAGGGGGGCCATTTCGTTCCAGGTGGGTGACCAAGCTGCTGAAGCCTGGGACAGGTTGCTGGGACCAGTGCAGATGGCAGCTTCCTCTCCTGACCCCATAGGACTCTCTCTTTTCTCAAAGTTCCCCAGAGCTTGCCAGCATTGTGGGTAGACAGAGTCTCTCCTTCCAGAACACACTTGTAAGCTGGCCTGTGGGTCTCCCAAGGCCAAGGCTAAGCAGGGTGGGTCTTTATATCCCTGTGGCACTGGCACAAAGCCTGCAGTTGTCTGGAGCCTGGAGAGGGAAAGTGACTCGCTCAAGGTCAATAGATCTAACCAGGGCTAGGACCAGGGTCCCTAGAACTCCCAGTGTACTCCCAGTCCATCCCAGAAAACTGGATGTGGGCAAACTTTGGACTCCCAGATAGAGACCAAGGCCTGGGGACCTGAGCAGGCTCCCCAACTCTGGTCCCACTCAGCACCCTGTGTGGTTCCAGTGCCAACAAGCGCTCATGCTTACTGGCCGGCCCAGGCTGGGGAGCCTGGTCCTCTGCTGAGGCTTTGGGATTCAGGAGAGGAATGGCCTCCCCTGGGTGCCTTGGCAGGCGTTCCAACCTGGAGCCTCTGGGGAAGGAGAATGTGATTGTCTGTGCCTGCTTAGTGACGGGGTAAGCTGGTGTGTGTGGGCACGTGTAAGGAGCTGGCTAGCTGGTGTGTCAGGGGACAGACACCTGTGTGGCTTGACACTAGTGCTTCCCAGAAGCCTTCTTCCTATCTGGCTCTTTGTGGGCCAAGTCTCAGTTGCTTTGCCCTACAATGAGCAAAGGAGGGGGCACAGATGCTATGAGGTTTTCATAAAGCTAATTTTTTCTGTACAAAGGGCCCAGCTTTGTTCTAAAGCATGTATGCTTCCATTTTATTATTTAATATTAAAATAGACTTTACTTATGGAGTGAGAGGATAGGAGGTGGTGACTTGTTTCCTCATTTATTTACAAAGCAAAATGGTAAAAGGGATACCATTTCAATATTCATATTTTAAATGATATTATAGGTTTGTAAACACTAAAACCCAGGGACACCTGTCCTGGATTTTTGCAGGGTGTGGGTCTTATGCTACATTTTTTCTTTTCCTCTTCCCTTAAGAGTCCCACAGGCATGGCAGCTGCTGGTGGCAGGGGGTGGTAGACTGGGAAGTCAGCTGTCCAAGGCTGGGGATCCCCCAGATTTCCACTCTAGCCTTCTGGAAAAGAAGCTGCCCTATGAATCTTTCATCTGGGGGGATTCCAAGCCTGAACTTGGAAGTTCTGGGGCCCCCCCTCAGAACCTCAGGGGAGGGGGAAATGAAGTGATCCCTCCCCCAGCCCTGGCTGAGAAATGGTGAAAAGCTCTGGCCCCTGACCCGGGAATACCCAGCTATGCTAAGCGCGGAATTGGTGGACTCTCCCTGGAGGAAGTGAGTGACACGTGCTTACGTTTTAAACGTTTGCAGTTATTTAAAGAATTATAAGATGAGCACCCAGATAGCAACCGCCCACTTTGAGAACCAGGATATTGCAAATGCTTTTGAAGCCCTGTGTGCCCCTCCCCAGTCTCGATGGCTGCCTGTCTATGAAGGTAAATGTGGGTCTCAATTTCATGTTTAGAGGAACCCTCCTGATCCATGGTTTTGCTTTCTGTGGTTCCAACTACCTATGTCAACATGGGTCCAAAAATGTTAAATGGAAAGTCCCAGAAATGGACAACTCATAAACTTTAAATTGCGCACTCTTCTAAGTGGTGTGATGAAGTCTTGCTCCATCCTGCCCTGGACGTGAACCATCCCGCTGTCCAGCATGTCCATTCTGTGTAAGCTTCCTGCCCGCCACACACTCGGCCATTGCCATGATAGGATCCAT